CCAGTCGCTGGAAGCTTTGGCCCCGCAGCCGCCCGCCTCACCTGCGTGTCCGCCGCCATCCTGCCGGCGCTGAATCCGGAATCGCTTCCGGAGCGCTTCCGGGTCACCGCGGGGCCCACGCGGCAGGGCGAGGCCAGAAGCCCATAGGGGCCAGGCCGGGACCTAGCGCCCCCGGTGGGACGGCGGCCGCTGCGGCCCGGGCTTTGCCGGAACGTGGCCGGGGACGATCCACGTCTCCTCCGCAGGGCCCGCCCGTCAGCCCCGGGGGCCGGCGCCCTTCTCATCCCCGCCCGGTAGGAAGGCCGCTCTGCAGCCCCTGACCCCTTCCCGCCGCGGGCCCGGCCCGGACTCCCTTTCCCCGTGAAGACTTTGGAGCAACGGCTGAGTACAGCTCAGCGGAAGGGAGCCGGCGATCCAGCGATCCAGTCCCGGGCGAGCACTGGATGTGGATTCGTCGTTAGCATACGAGGATGCACACGGCGGTCAGGGAAGGGGTCAAGCGCTGCAGCCCGCCCTGGGGAGATGCTGGGTGGTCTAGCCAAGGCTGCAAGGTGGGAGGCTGGGGGAACGGAACAGCCTCAGGACCCATGGAGTTGTCCTGCCCACTCTGCAGACTATGTAGAATGGGATCTCCAGCTTAGCTTTGGCCACTTTCGGTGGCCTTGAGACCTAGTTACATCATGACCCAGAACCTGTAAATGAAGCTTCCCGGGTCCACCAGGTAGTGTAGTGGTTAAGGAGCTGAACTCCCACATGGGGGACTGGGGTTGGAGTCCCAGACCCAGCAGCTAGAAACTGCTGAGCATGTGCACCTCCAGTCCAGAGAGAATGAAAAAGGGATTGCAGCTATGTCCAGCCCCCTGGAGGAAGAGGTGATTTCTCAGTGTCTCATCTCTCCAGCAAGTGCACATGCGCTATAGCAAAAATCTGTCTAAAGTAAGAATAAGGAAAATAAAAGTTGATTGCTTTAGGATAAAACATCTTTTACCAGATTTCACGCGTTAGATACTGGTCACCACCTACTCATGAACTGGATTGCTGTCCTTAAAAAGACCCTGCTCTGTAACACTGACTCAGCACTAAACCTCCCTTAGGTAAGTATCTTAAAGGGTTCTCAGCTGGGGGCTGGATGCAGAACGTTTGGTTTTTCTACGGAGAATGTGCACAGAGCAACAGTGAGAGGGTGAGAAATCACCCCCAGAGATGTCCATGCTGCAGTTCCCTCTATTCTCCCGGCATCTTGGGCACGTGCACACATGTGCCTCCATGACTTTCAAGCCACCGGGTCTGGGACTCAAACTGTGGCCTGCCATGTAGGGGTCTCCTTAAAATTCTAGTGTAATAAAAATAATTTGGAACCAACAGGTGGTGTGGTGTCAGATCCCACAACTGACTTCATGGTTTGAGTTCTGGACACAGCAGCCTGAGAAACACACTGGGCAGGTGTGTACCCAAAATCCCAAGAGAATGGAGAAAGGATTGTGGCTTGGCCAGCTTCTCCCTCCTCCTTTCTGGTGACTGCACATGCCCTATTTTAAAAAATCATTGAGGGGGGTTGTTGGCAGCGTGGTGGTTAAAGGCACTGGACTTCCACATGGCCAACCCTGGGTCAAGTCCTGGACCTGGTGGCTTCCTTTCTTTCCCTCTCTCGTCTCTCTGGTCAGACTGAAAAAAGTTAAAATCATTCTTTAAAAAAAAATCATTTTAGGGCCACTAAATATTTTGTGCCTATGGCACTGTGGAGATGGACTGCTCGAGACTGGATCTCACACGGTGACCTGTTCTGACCCATGGCCGTCAGCCTGAAATACACCAGGGACCCGCACAAGTCCAAGATCTGCTGGGCTGGAGGAAGGAAACTGCAGCATGACCAGTGTAGAGGGTGCATCTCTCATGCCAGCACATACTCATTGTATCACAAAGAAAAACACTCTCTAAGTTGGGTCTAGTTTGAAAGAAAAAGAGAAGTAGCCTCACCTAGGTAGTAGCCCACCCAGATGTCGACCAAACACAAAACTGCGGTTTCACCATGGCTTTACTTTCTAGCACACAGCACTATAGACCTTCAAGTGTACAGAATGAAGTGTCAAGAGGCTTCTGAGAGACTTTTAAGAGAAGTAAGCCTTTATTTCCTTGTTTCACAAATAAAGCTGGCTGAGTTGGCTTTTGGTGATCAGTCAAAGAGACCAAATCCCATATCCTCGTCCGACTCCTCTGACTCTTCCTTGGCTTCAACCTTGGCTGGGGCCGCGGCAGCAGCAGGAGCAGCAGTGGTGGCAGCGGCCACGGGGGCGGCAGGCACCAATGCCGGTGGATCAAGAAGGCCTTGACCTGAAGCAAGGGGACAAGCAGTGATCAGTATGGTCACCCACACCTCTACTCCCCACACTCCTTCCTGCCTTTGTAGGGCTCCTGCTCCAGTCTAACCAACACTGTCCAAGCCAGTGCAGCCCTTCCCATGCAAAGGGACGCAGGTCAGACAGCCTGGGTATGGATGGCCTGGTAAGGGGGCAGGCTGGGCCAGCTCTTGCCCATAACCTCGTCTGGGTGTCTTGTCGTTTCTGAAGTGAGAGGACGCCTTGCCGGTTCCCCAGCCTCTCGGATTATCTCTGTAATGCTGCGGAAACGCACAGGCTATGCAAAACACAACCACACAACACTAACCTGGGATGAACCAAGTGTCACCCTAACTATCAGACCCACTATGCTCCCGATAGGATCTTTTTACCTTCTCAGCAAGTGGGAAGGTGTAGTCAGTCTCCACAGACAAAGCCAGGACCCGCTTGTACCCATTGATGATAGAATGTGGCACTGAAGCGACAGTGGGATAGCCAATCTGCAGGCACACACTGGCAACATTGCGGACACCCTGCGGGGGAAGAGAAAGTACATTTTAGGTCAGTCAGGTCCAAGAGAAAGGTCAATAAGGAGAAATAACCCAGTGCAGCCAAGCCTTTCTAGTTCAGCAGCTTCCGCATCAGATGGTTCTAGCAGGCCAATTCAAACCTGATTTATAAATGCCATACCTTTATTCCAAACCTCGATATTTCCTATAATGATGCATTTACTTGAAAACCTATCACTGTTATGTAAAAAATATAAACTATTAAATCCACTGAGTTACACAAGAAATTATATTTTCTACCATTATAATGGCTGTAGTAGTCAAGACAGTCTCAGAAAAAATAACCACCAAACAAAGGATACGTGGCAATGCTACATCATCATTCATGTATTCTGTCCTCATTTCTCCTGACTTGAGACACTATTCAAAATCTCATCTCATTATTGTCCTCCCTGGAATTGCCCTTACTACATGCCCAGCACTTGCTGGGCATGAATGATGAAAGTAAGGTTCAACAAGTCAATTCTGAGGCTTTACATTAATTCATTAAATCTTCCAACAATCTTAAGTGGTTATTGCCAGTGAGGAAATGGAGGTAGACAGGTTAAACAACTGTGCCTGGTTATACAGCTAGTTTAAGCCACAGCAAAGACTCAGCCTGATGCCATCATGACCTCAACCAGTAATGCTAAGGGGCTGGGCTGGGCTGAACTGGGTTGAGCAGCCCGTACCTCCAGGAAGCGAGAATGCAGAGCCTCCTCTGTGATGTCAAGCACTTCGGGGTTGTAGATGCTGCCATTGTCAAACACCTGCTGGATGATCAGCCCGAAGGAGAAGGGGGAGATGTTCAGCATGTTCAGCAGTGTGGCTTCGCTGGCTCCCACCTTGTCTCCAGTCTTTATCAGCTGCACATCGCTCTGAAGGATAAGGTAACAGTGGGTGGTTAGCACCTGGACACCTGGCAGGCCCATGGCATCCAAGACATGCTGCCCCCTGACCTGCCTGGTAAAACAGGTCCACTCACCAGGATTTCAATGGTGCCCCTGGAGATCTTAGTGGTGATGCCCAAAGCCTGGAAGAAGGAGGTCTTCTCGGGCCCCAGACCAGTGTTCTGGGCTGGCACAGTGACTTCGCAAGGGGCAATGGCACCAGCACGGGCAGCAGCTGGAACCTGAACAAAACAACAAACAGTGAGAAGCTTCTCCACCGACACAACCTGACACGGTCAACTGTGCCCTCGGGAGCCAAAGTAAGATCTCTTCAATCGACCTGCTTCTCCCCTTACCTTGTTGGCCAGCAACATGTCCCTGATCTCAGTGAGGTCCTCCTTGGTGAACACGAAGCCCACATTCCCCCGGATGTGAGGCAACAGCCTGCGAAGAGAAGTTTACAGGAGACGGTCACTTTTCCGCACCATTCTTCTCCAGGAAAAGGGAGAAGGGCATGGGAAGGAAGGTAACAGTGCCCGGGGAACTGACTGACTTCTCCAGAGCTGGGTTGTTTTCCAGATGCCCCCGGATGGCCTTGCGCATCATGGTGTTCTTGCCCATCAGCACCACGGCCTTCCCGCGGAGGGACATGCGGATCTGCTGCATCTGCTTGGAGCCCACATTGTCTGCGCCCACAATGAAGCATTTTGGATAATCATCCAGAAGTTGCTGCAAAAAGTCAGAAACAAGCAAAGGTTAACAGGGGAATTCAAAAGAAACCAAACTTTGAAATCAGTGGTTTTTATCTCACTCCCTTTCTCCTATGCTTTTGAAGTCCTTCAGAAATTGGGACCCTTCCCCACTAGGAGTCACCTGAGCTGCTTCACTGCTAGATTTGAACAGAATTTGCTTGTTGGCAAATGCCTAAAATTAGGCTACTGCAACTGAACCTGGAAAAAAAAAAATCTAACTTTTATTTAGTTTTAATTTTTAATTTTCCCTACTGATAATGTATGTTTCTAATTCACTAAAATAGTAGCATTAACAAAGAAAAAAAAAACCTATTCCAAATAAGCTGATCAAAGAAAAGACTAGATTCACAGCATTCGTCAGTAAAAAGTAAACATAACGACTCATTACTTGTAGTTCAATTAAAAAAAAAAGTAAACATAACGACTCATTACTTGTAGAAAACCTAGATTGTGGGGGGGAAAAAATCTAGATCATACACATACAGATTATGGTACAATTCTTAATACTTTGTGTCTGAAAACCTGTAACAAAGCCTAGCACAGCCTAATCCATGAAGAGGAATAAAGTCAGCATTTGGGGGCAGAAAAAGACCCCCCCTCTCAAAAGTCAACCAAAATGCAAAATGTCATCAACATTTACTTGCTGGGCTGACAATCCTAAATATGCAACAAATCTCTTCTTTACAATGAGCAATTAGTTAGTCCTTGCCTCAGACTTTTCCACCCAAAAAAAAAAAAAAAGGCAGGCAAGACATGCAGGTATAACCCGTGCTATTAGGGAAGCCAGACAGCCCCGGGTACGAACTCCATCGTCTTAAGGAACTAATCGACCCGCCATATCCTGTGTTAAGACCTGCCCATGAAGTTGCTAAGTTTTAAATGGATTTGTCCAAAAGGACTCTCGTAGTTAGCACCAACAGACGCTCGGCCCATCGCGGTGGATCGTCCTCATTTATACCTAGGGCCGACGTGGCCATAAGGGGCCGCCGCGACGTTCCCCGCACTTACGATTATCTTAAGGAAGTAGTTGGACTTCCAGGTCGCCCTGTCTTCCCTGGGCATCACGGCGGTGCGTCAGGGATTGCCACGCAGGGTTTAAAGACGATGTCACTGAGGGGAGAGAGGGAGCTTTAACACCAACACCCCTACCCGGTCTGAGGCCTATGCCGGGTGGGCCACGCGCCAGTCCCTGCCGACCCGGCCTGGTACAGCAAGCCCTGGTCGAAGTCCCAAGCGACAGACCCAATCCCCGCAAACCCCAAATCCCCCCCAAAGCTTGCCCAAAGATCCTATGCTTCCCGCTGCCGATCACTGGCGCGGATCTACACCCTCACGAACCTCTCACGAGGGCGCCTGGAGAGAGGAAGGGCGCGCGCCACCGCCTGCATTTTATATATGGACAAGCAGCCAATCAGAAACCGCGGGCAGCACCTCTGCCTATTGGCCGGCGCCGTCGCTCGTACAGCTACGCCAAACTGATCTAGGCAGCCATTGGATGATGTCCCTGTCACTCTTAAACGACGGGAAGCCGTCTTTCTGTAGGGCAATTAAGGAAGGCGCTGTCTGAGTTGGAGGAGCTTTTCTCAGAGTTGCTGCCCTCTGCTGGGCTGGAGCTGCCTTCCTGTAGAAGTTCCGCTGTTTCTGTCAGGAGTGTTTTCCCTGCCACCTGAGCAGCTCTGCAAACTAAACAAGTAATTACATATGCGTAGAAACTGGATGGGAGGGCCTGCAGTGGCACATACGTTAAGAGGGCTAGATCCCACATGGCTAAGTAAGAGGTTCGAATCCCAAACGAAGGAAGTTGAAATTTACACCAGGTGCGTGTGTGCCCAAACTCCTGCATGAAGAAATGGAGGAGAGGGGATTGTGGTGTGGTCATCCCCCTGAGGAGTGACTTATCACTGTCTCTCTGTCTCTCGCTGATGAGACACGTGCCCTATAGTAATAATAAATACTTGAACGAGCGGGTGGCGTGGTGATTAAAGTGTTTAGACTCCCATATGGCTATCTGTGGTTTGAGTCCCTGACCTGGCAGCTTGCTTTGCTCTCTCTCTCTCTCTCCCTCTCTCCCTCTCCCCCTCCCCCGTGCATGTGCTCTATAACAAATTTAAAAATAATAATAATGAGACAACAGACGATGTAATGATTATGTCGCTGGACTCCCACATAGTCGACTGCGGTTCAAGTTCCAGACCTGGCAGCTTAAAAAACACACCAGGGATGTGCGTGCATGCCCAAAATCCCATGAGGAGAATGGAGAAGGGATTGTGGCGTGGCCGTCCCCCTTGGGGTGTGATTTCTCTCATTTTGTCTCTGTCTCTCTCTCTCTCCCTGGAAAGTACACAGGCCCTATACCAAAAATCTCTCTCTCTCCCTAAAATATATATATATACCTCTCCTTTCTC